TATTTCGAGATTATTATTGCATCGTTTAAGTGAAAGTTTTTCTGAATCCTAAGATTATAACCTCTGAAATTAATAATTTAAAATACAATGAAAAATCCTTACTCATCATCGGAGTGTTGACTAAATAGTGATCTCGTAGTACCCTAGGGAAGGTGTCATGAATTTGTGAGACAAACCAGCTCAGGGAAACTGCCGATTTGCGGCAGTTCCCCTTAAACAGGCCACCATCATGCCTAATTATTTCACCTGATCTTTCATTGGTCACGGATAATATACGTATATGGCGATTTCTAATAAAGTTAAACAAAACATCGCTGTCGACTCATCGTCAGCAGCGCCTACAACATTCTATTTTTGTATTGTTCTTTTTATTACCCCAACATCGCAACATCGTAATCTACTCTGCTTACCAAATTTTTTCAAGTGAAATATTTATCCGCTGTAGCCAATCCTTGCCTCATTCGGTTAAATGTAGTGGTCGGGAAAATCCCCTTATTTCCCAAACATTCGTTATATTTTGGCAAATTTGGTTACGGTTGGCCAAGGTGGAAGCGCAATCTTTCTTTCTCTACAAACATCAATACTCTGAATATGGAAAAATGCCGGGTTTGATACATTGTAATCTCTTGAATTAATTAATGAAGTGAAAAGAAATGAGACCAATCTCGGCCCAGCTAAGAAAAATTGATGCATACATACGTGTTACACAAGGGATACGGAACACATCGAACAAACCGAATGATATTGGCAATAAAATACATTACTATCGTGACAATCCGATGTCCATTGGGATTGAGAAAACAAATCATCTCTGTCAAGTACATGCGCGGTCAAGTTGAAGTATCGCGAGAAGAAATTCATTTTCTTATAAAAAAAGGAAGGTACGAGTGATCGGTCGGTTTAATTTATATACTGAGTCATGCTTAATAGATTAAGGGTCCTCACATAACAGGCACGTCAATTGCCTTGTAGTTCAAACGGTATCGGTATCGGTATCACATCGGCATCGGTATTGTAAAAAAAAAAGCATACCGATATGGAATAGCTTCCTTAGTACATGCATGCAATTATGCCGAGTATTAACAACATTCATTTCATGACATCATAATACTACTATAGTGGGCAGCTGGCATGTTTAATGCGTAATACGAAATTACGTCGCTTACATAAATTCTCTGAAAAGGCATGGCTTTTCGCTATCGCTACAGATGAATTGGGCATATCTGCACAGCCGCCCCTGGATAACAACTGTCTTTCTTTGCTCAGCCGAGATTGGAATTTTTAAGTTATCAAATTTATATATCAAGTATCCATTTATTACATCACATCCATAATTTTGATTTACAACGTCAATTATAAGTCACACATGGTCTCGTAGCAAACAATAGAAACTAACTATTTAATTCTTCATCAAAGTACACAGGACGTAGTGTGTCTTTAATATATTTGCTAAACGTGGATTTTGGCGTCCCATAAAATTCTTTTCCTTTTGCCGAGATAACAGCATCCAGAATACCTACCAAGAATCTTGACAATGGCGTTTTATCCTCAACATTCCTCACAGCTTTTAGCTCTGCCAAATCCTTTTCAAAGTCATCCAACAAAAATACGCATGGAAATGTTCTGAAAAATTTTTGCAGCAGTGGATTTTTTCTCGGAGACCTTGCATCAGTGGCCATGAATATCACCGTATTGATTCTGGCGTTCGTGGGATGAAGTGGTCCGTGACATTCGATGTGATTGGTTAATTGTTGATGGAATTCTGATCCCGCCTCGTTGTCGTATGAATGTTGTTCTTTAGAGGTCACCGTATTGTCAGTCAAGGTGTCTTGATCATGTGCGTCTTCTTCAATAATATCTAATTCTTTCGACGTAGAATTCGTCGTATCCGATTCAATTATTAGACGATACATATGATCAATGTTTTGGTGTGCTGTCTTCATAAAAAATCCATCGGACACACGTATATGCAGTCCGATGAAGTTTCCGACTCCCCCCAACTGTTCGATAATACGATCGGCCGTACGAAGAATTATTGGGTTGTGAGGGACAAGGTACCTTTTGATGAATTCAGCGTGCCTTAAGTTATCCGGTTTCTCGATTGCCATTCTAGCCGACCCGAAAAGCGAACCCAGGTGTATTACTCTTTTTTCAACTGCCGCCAACTCCTCGACATCAAGTTTCCTCTTAAATACGCTGCTTAGAGGTTGATTATCCGATGAGTCATGGATTTGGTAGTCAAACAATGTGGTATCCTTTATGAAATGAACATCTTCATCCAGATTAACATGAAGATTTTGTCTCAGCCATTCATAGGAGGATTCCCATCTGTATATGATCTTGTGCCATTTTCTAAGAGGATTCATGTTGAATAAGAAATCCCAGGATACGGTCGTGAATGAAAAGTAATTCAAACATTCGGCAGGTAACGGAATCTCGTTTGGTATTTCCATACAATGCTTCAAACCTGTCTTGACGAAAATGTTCAGTTTTTTGTACATCTTGTCAAACCTTGACCACGACAATGGCGGCCCAAATAATACCGGCGGCATTAATAATGTACGATTTAATAGTTTGGCGAGTAGTAATGCATTTTTCAGCGCTACACGTTGATTGTGAAATCCACTGTGGGTGAAGTATGCTAAAAATTTTTCATCAGGATCAACGGTGAATTCTTGGTGAATACGAGTCTCGACATCTTTAAATTGTTGTACTGGGATGGCGGTGGATGTCTTTGTGGTCGACGGTTGCGACTGCTCGTGAAAGGATGGTAATATTTCAAGGGTTTGCTGTTGGTTTGGTGAGAGATTAGCTTGGTCGGGATTAATTGCGAGATTCTTATGGTAAAAGATGTGCACGAATGCAATGATCACTAGCAGCCATATAATCAGGAAAAGTACTAGCCGAACTTTGATGTTTAGAATTACGACCATTATTTAAGGAAAATCATGAAAAAGGCCTATAAAGTTAATTCTCGCATATTTATACCTCTGATTGTGCACGGTGCCTGATTGGCTGTTATCCGATGATTGCCAAGGAAGTTGAAACACGGTTAACAATCATCATTATTTTCCCCAAACATACGGGATATACATGAATATTCGGACTTGACCTAAAAAAAAAAAAAGAAAAAGAAAAAAAAAAGATTTAGATGCACACACTGACCCTCACCTTCATTTATTGCCCATGATTGCTAATTTCATAAAGGGGAGGGGGAGGAGGAGGTCTAGGGAGACTCGACGACCCCTTAAATCAAATGTCATGTTTGCAAGGGTTGTCATCTGCTTAGGAAAAAAAATTCCTGCAAATAATCTGTACATGTATCTCGACATAACAAAGCTGCACCCTTTTGCTCCTATTTTCGATTTCTTGTGCTATTTATTCAGACTCTTCTATTCTATTTTTTTTTTTTTTTTCTTATATGCCGAGTAGTCTCTTCCTGCCGCTCTGACTTGTTTTGCTATTTTATCACTTGTTATGTTAATTGGAATAACCATCTGTTATTTATATGTAGTGTTTAATAAACATATTAATTACTTCATGCAACAAACAAAAAACCACGCTTTTTTGATACTTGCTTGCCGGTGTTATCCATTATTAGTGGGTACAAGAAAGTGGATTATTTATATTTGTCCTAGCATACAATATATGCAATGTCCCGTATTAATTTTATATTATTGAATGGCTTGACTTTATTTGGCTATTTGCTAATTTTGGTGTTATCGTTTCTTCGTTACTCTCTTTTTATTTTATTTATACATGCACTCATTTTTTTTTCCTCACTAGGCCTCTAATGGTGCATAAACAGGTTTATCAACAATTTTATATGCGCCTTTATTGAAGACGACGGTCAATAGTCCTATGGTCAATTTGGTTAAATTTCTTGATGTGCTAATGATGTTGTGCAATGTTGACTCCGAATAGGAAGTTCAAACAACTGCCTGACAGTTAGAGTCGAGTTCACGTTATGCTACGTTGTTCATGTAATATTAATCAATGTGCCATTAGAGCGCAGGACGTGTGTATAAATGTTTCATGTCTTTGCACCCAAGGTGGTCTGCCTCAGAGGTCATCAACAATTAAACTCTAACTTGATCGTCCCGCGAATCATCAATAATTATTGCTTTCTCGTCTGGTTCATAACGGGCGCATTTTTAACTCCCTAGTTCTATTCTTTTTTTTTTTTTTCAATCCTCTTTTTCGTCCCAATCTTTTCTTTATTTATCTTCTGTGCCTAAAAAAAATTTTTTTTTTTTTTTTCTTGATTGTATTAACACATTGTGGCATTCTATTATCTCCATTATCGGTAACATATTTGGCCCTTTTGAAATTTTTATAAATAGTAGACGGATGCTTCTGAACCCTCCCTCCCACTTTCCCTTCACCTATTTTGTTGTTGACCTTCATCAATTTGAAACTTGTGTGTGGGTCTAATAATAATCTTGCTAGCGTGTCAAAAAAAAAAAAAAAAGAAAGTGATCAATTATATAATATATATATATATATATATATATATATATTATTGTTATTCTATTTATATACGCTGTATAAATATACTATAAATTAAATTAAAATATACAGATTATTATATTCGATATACGTCATATACTTTCTTTTTTTTTTTTTTTTTTTTTTTTTTGTATCTAATCTTTGTTTTTATCAGACAAAATTCTTTATAAACCCATTCTACTCTCCACTTTTTTTTTTCCAAAAACTCATTCCTTTTCTTCTACTTTGGCATCTCGTCGTCCCGGAGTAAATTTAAAAGCGTAAGTAGCAATTTTATCTTTAAAATTCCTTAGGGTAATATGTCAAAGGAGGTCTCGTTCCTTGACAATGACAATGATGTCGTAGGGTGCATAGGGTGGTCGTCTTCTCTTCTCCCCCAAGGTCACGCCTTTTCTTCTAATTCTTGCGTAATTCTGATATCCCATAATTTCTTTATGAAAACACATTCTTCTTCTACCTCCCGCCTTCTTCCTTCACCTGTTTCTCTCGGCGTAACATAACAAAAAAAATTTTTTTTTTTTTTTTTTTTTTTAATTTCCTTGTTTGAATTCTATTGTCTACATTGTACTTAATTCCCCCCCGTTTGATACCATCATATCAACGCCAACAATTCCTCTGTTGCAAACAATTTTCACGATGATTTTTTATTGTTCCTAGTTTTTCCTTATAGTAATAATTACCTTGCCCTTTTTTTTTTTTTTCTTTCCTTTTTCTCTCTTCAAACAATTCCATCATTGTATCATCGTACATCTTCCCCTTACTCGATGTTGCCGCAGTAATGACTGGCCTCTCATTTGTTAATATATATATTGCTGCGCATAGCCCATCCAATTCCTTCATCATTATATACCTTCAGCCTCAAAGGAAAGAAAAAAATTTTTTCTTTTTTTCTTGACTCTTCCTTTCTTCTCCAAGAATTCAGCATTCGGCTTTCTCTAGTCAACCATTTTTCTCCTCAATACCTGTAAGCACTTGTATATGTCTACTATTCTACCAAGTTCAATACCTTTTAACCACCACCACCACCCGCCACCATTACTACCACTCTTACTTAGAACTAGTGCAAACGATTGTGTCATATCATATCTTACTTCTATTTGCTGTTCAGAAAAATTTTCGAATACGAATTCCAAACATGAGTAACTCAATTTCAATACTAACCAATAAATTTTCTCGCGTCTCTTTCTATTCTAATAGTTTATTCAAGGTTTTAACTTAACGTCTTACAATCATACAACTATATATATTATATACTATATTTATCTATACACTTGACTGTGTACACAACTTAAAAAAAAAAAACATTATTCCCTTTTACGATCTAAATTAATAATAATAAAAAACGATGGCAAGCACATCGAATGTCAAGAAGTCTCCAAATCAACAACGCAATTCACTGAACACGAGTTACAATGATCAGCAACATCAACCACGTCAGATTCTGCCGTCGAGACAATCAACTCAGAACAATGGTCGGGCTTATTCACAAGTCCTCCAACCTCATATTATTGTCCCTACCCAATTTGGCTATGGCGATATTATGCCCAATAACTTGTCTCCATCGAAGGATTTGACGATGTCAATGCCATTCTTTCAGGATTATGACAGCTACCAAGCAGGTCAATTCGGGCATGTTCAACTTTACCCGACGGCCTACTTTCAGCAAGCACAACTACCCCAACCCCAACCTAGATCCGTTCAGATAGATCCCATATTAGCAAATATATTTTGCGACGATTGCATTCGTTACGCAGGTGCGGGTGGTGAGTCATGCCTCTTGCAGATCATTTGTAAACAATGCAAGGACAAATACTTGAACGCGAAGAATCATGGCAGAAATTCTAATGCCGTCACGGTTCCCTCAACGTCGTCTCGTGGCTGTTCCTCGATTCCCATGTCCCAGGCGATTCCCCAGCATGGCATGATCCCACCTACAATTCCCATCCATAACATGCAATCACATCATTCCGTTTCTCCCGTGGTGCCAACTCAATCGATTCCCATCCAGTCGATGTCTCTGGACTTGTCTCACGCAGTGTCACCGGATATCGTTCAATATCCCATCTCTTCCCATTCCTCGAATTCCGATTTGCAAATTGATTTCACCCTCGATCAACCTTCCATTTGCTACGAGGATGGTCAGCTTGGTTATAAACCCAGTACGAGGGTGTTGAATGATGTCTTCTTTTCCGATGTTTCAACGGATCAGTATCTTTACTTCGACAGTGATGCATCTTCCGACACTGATATCTCGACCCCGAATTCACATCATTCCCCGCATCTTTCCCCCACCGAGATGTTTGGTGGTGATGATCCGATGTGGAATCTAATTTACGAGGACGAGCTCGATGAATCAAAAGATCTGACCGTACAAGACTTGTTGACCGATGTGCCCCCCACCACGGTCACGTCGCCATTGGTTATCACCTCGCTTACCTCGAGCGTTTCACCGAAAGTCCCTTCGAACTCGACGATCGTTTTACAACAGGAGATATCCGCATCCTCATCTTCTGCACCTCAGTCTACCTCCGTCATCTCTCCCGATGCTACCAACTCGAACACAACGATTACCATTGATCCCTCGTTGATCTCGGCTCCCACCAATCATTTTTCTTGCGAGGCCATTGACCCCAGATTTATTACTTCTACCGAATCTCCGAACCGAAAACCTCCGCAGGTCATCACCAGACCGAATTTTATCGAATTAAGCGTCGATACCTTACTCAGTCCCCCCCTTCAGACTCCAGAGCTCGTCAGCGACAATAATCTCAAACGAAGGTTGTCCTACACCTTTTCCTCTGATGATGAGATCTCCGACGCTGAGAATAAGAAGATTCGCGTTGAAGAGCAAAAACCCGTCAAGAAAGGCGATTTGCTGATGGTTGACGAAAAGGAGTGTGAACCGGAAGGCTACCCTTCCCCCGAGGACGAGATGATGGTCGATGACAATTTAATTGATGAGGAGAATGACTCTGTTACCGATGAATATCACGACAGCAGTGATGCCATCTACACCACCGATGAAGATGACGACGAATATAAACCGTCTTCGAGCAGTAAGAAACCTCGATCATCAAAGAAAGGGACGATCAAGTCTCAGGGTAAGCCCAAAGGTTCGTCGAAAGTGATCATTCTGGGAAAGGGATTGATAAAGTCAAAATCAACCGCACAGTCAAAAAGCAAGGGGAAGGCGACCTCCAGTAAACGGTAATTTTCAATCGCGATGATTCGAGTATGTTATGAAATCAATCTTACTAAAAATATTCCCATCCTACTTACACCAGTGGTAAACATTCGAAGTCCAACGGTTCTTCAAAGAAGACTAGCAAAGCTTCAACGCCCGCTTCCTCGTTCACCGAGAGTCCTGCGCCGACAACCGCCGTAATGGAAACCGATGAGCCCCAGGAAATAGAGGAAATGGAGGTGACCTCCCCACGTCCGACCCAGTCGCCCACCATCTTCGAGGTCCTAACCAGATCCGGTATCGACTGGTGTAGATACTGTGGTACCACTGAGGGTGTCAACTGGAGACCTGGTCCATGGGGAAAGCGAACCTTGTGCAAGTAAGTTATCAACGTTTGTTCTTCACTTTCACATATATTTTGGATTATGTTCTAACGGTTTCTCGCTACCTCCCTTCTCTTCATTATTGTTATCAGCAAGCATGGTTGCGATTACAAAGGTTACGGGTTCGCTTGCAAGCTTCCACGCTTGGACCTGACCGGTTTTGTTAACGAAACTGTCGAGGAACGCGAACGCCCGGTTCTACAACTCTGTATGCACTCCACATTCTCATAACTTGCTGAATTATTAGTTGTGTTCCACTTGACTTACAAATACACCTCTCGATCTCCTTCCCATAATTATCATGATCTTTTTTCTCCCAACAGTCTGTACCGTTTGTCAAAAGCAAGAGTCCTTCGTCGGAAATGTTCTTGTCCGCTGCGAGAGTTGCCCCAAGGCATTCCATCAAAAATGTTTTGCGACTGGCATTGACGACGAGATTGTAAACGGTGCCGAACCGTGGTACTGCGAAAAGGGATGCCAAGATAATTTGCGAAGGAAGCGAATAGGTAGGTTCCTCACATAGATCTCGTGACCGATGCGCGTGTAACCGGGAAAAATAATGATGTCCCATTCTTTGATGATAGTTGTTGAACTTCCCCGTAAGAGACTTCCCCTCATGTCCACTCCCAAAGCCCAAACTTCTACACTGATCACCGATCCATCCTTAACCCCTAACTCCGGCACCACGTCTCGTCCCCGAACTTCCCGAAATTCCTCGAGAGTTTAAACCCTTCGGACATTTTTTATTACCATTACTACATCTTTAATGATTGGAAAGGGTGGGTGGATAAGATTGGAAATGGCTCTTTTCCACTAGCGATTTCTTACATTCCGTTGAACAATCGGCATGAACGATATTTGTTTATTTCTTTTACGCAAGGACAATTACGAATGGGAACGAACAATCGTTCTTACTCTTCGAGCAAGATTCTTCTGATATGTGAACTTTTTAGCTTTACGTCTCATCAGCAAGACGATTGACCTGGGATAACTCACAAATTTTTCTTGTGGAGGGTTTATATCTTGCGAGGCGGTGTAATTTTTTTTTTTTCCCTCAAACGCGTCTTTCGTGACGTTGTTTGTATTATATATATATTTCGCTACGCACATATATATATATACATACACTGTATATATGATTTTAGACAACTGACAATATATTTTTAAAAAATTTTTTTATTTTTATTTTATTCCGGTGGGTCCAAAAGTCGAGAAACGATATTGACTGTCGTTTTTTGATTTCTCCTTTTTATTTTTTTTTTATTTTTTTTTTAAGGAAGCTATAGAGCAAGGACAATATTTTCTTCTGCATTAAATAAGTACTTATTTTCCTTGCCACGATTAGTCCCCTTTACCTTTATTACTAAAATTAGTTAATATTTTCGCGTTGTTTTCCCAACTATTTGTTTGTACAGTGGGAAATGAATGGATCTTTTCCTATATAATGACGAAAGTCACATTAGAGTCTTACATTCTTTCGTCAATCTAAATCACAAACGCAACAAAAATTCACTCCACATAATTTCTAGACACTTTACTATATACGCTTATAGATTTACATACAGATTTTGTTATAGAATTCTAATAATTTCTTTTTAATAATCAACACAAGATTTGTAAGCTTTATTCGCATCTCATCATTCACCAACAAAAAACAAAAAATTTTGGCATTTTCTATATTAACTCGCATTTCCTTTATTCACCTTCGCGTATAAATCTAACACCACCTTCAAAATATACGGATATACGCTCTTTTTTTCTTATAAAATTCCTTATAATAATAATAATGACAATAATAATAATAATTTCTCTAACACGAATTGACGGTTCGGTTTCTTTCTTTCTTTTTTTTTTTTTTTTTTACCTTGTTTTCTAGTGTATATATTCTTTTTATTGGTTTGGTTTTGTTTTATTTTATTTTGGGAGTAAGAGTGACCAACGCTTTTTTTTAATCAACCACACTACCCGAAACGGGTTAATTTATTTATTTTACTCTTTCACCCATTTATTACTATTTAATTCGGCAAACGATGCGAAAAAAAAAATCGTATATAATATTATTATAATATAATGAACTAGAATTGACGATGCGTCTCTCTTTTATGAATTGAGGATGCACTGTAATGTACTTTATGTATAGTAGTAGTAATAATAATAATAAATTGTGATAGAAAACATTAGATGTTAAACGTAATTCGATTGGCGTGAAGATTAGAGCTCGCAATATTTTAGAATGAGAAGTTAGAGGGAACGATCTCTGCATGCACTGCACTGTATATACAACACATCTTTAAAATTTAAAATAAATTAACAGGCTTTGTGTTAAACATCTAATGATCTTATAAACGATCTATTTTTTTTTTTTTTTTTTTAAGCATAAAAATTAGCATACGGTGCGTCGCAAAAATTATTTATAAATCAATGAATTATTATCCGAGTGATCTTTATAAGCATCAGATAAACCTCTCTATTCATGCATTTCCCGCCTTCTTTAAATACACTCTTTGAGCGAAGCCCTATTCAGGTTGTTAAATGCACCCTCTCTATTCTGAAAGTGCACAAAGTTTATAAAAAAACAGTATCAAATTAATTATCTATAGGAGGCATTCAAAAAACATCTACTGTATACCTAGTTTTAAGGAAAACATGGGATGAAGGTTTAAATAGAAAAGTAGAAACCACGAAATATCAAAGTTACTTATTGTCATCATAACCATTACTTTTTTAATGAATTCTTGGACACCGCACCATACGGTATAAAAAAATTCTTTATATAATAAAACTTGACCGATTAACTATTATTCAAATTATATTGATCTGCAAATATAATTTTTTTTTATTTTTAACAAGTATTTTTTTTTAATTCACAATTATACCATCACGGTGTGTCTTCATTGAGATATTAAATAAATATCCTCAATGTTATATTGATCATTACGTGATGCTTTATACACTATTAATTATTATTTAAAAATATAAAAAGTCTCTATTAAGTTGATTCAAATTAAATAAAACAAATTTTTAGCAAAACACTTCAAGTCAGGTTTAAAAGTCAATATTTTCTTTCTCTAATAAATTGATGGTATAATTTCTATTTAATAGAATCATAAACAGTTTATCATTATTAATTTAATTACCTTCAAAACAATAAGTTATTAAATTAAAAAAAAAAAAAAAATCAAATCAAATCAAGTCAACAATTTTCTTTAAAAAAAAAATCCTTCTGATTGAACATATTCTTCTTGCCTTAAACTCTTTAAGAAATTTATTTATTCTTAATATAAATTTCTTTAAAAATATTTATAAATTATTAATATGTAGATTCACTTATTACATTTTTAAAGTTACTATTATACTATAAAAGATTTTATTGATTGAAATAAAAAACCATTTTCAAAAAATTGTTTAATTAAAAATTAAAGTAAAAACATCTCAACTTTTATTCAATAAAGTTTTTTTTTTATATTTGTGAAACTCATTAAAAAATAGAAATTAATATCTATATACTGTATATAGTACAATACAAAAAAAGTCTTTGAACAAATATTCACTTATAATTTTTATTTTTCAAAATATAGAAAATAAAATTATTTAAGAATTGATTTTTTATAATATCTAATTTTATATTATATATAATAAATAAAAAACTTTTATTGAAACTATTTTAATGAATAAATTTATCAAATAAAAACAAATAATTTTTTTGTATTTTTTTTTTTTTATTAACAAAAAATTTTTTTATTAATTATAAATTAAATCAAATAATTAATGATTTTTAAAATTTTATATAAATATCATAATAAATTAAAAAAAAATTTTTTTTTTTTGATTTTATAATTAATTTTTTATAAAAATTTATTATAGTAGAATATATTTTTATTATTTTTTATATATAAATTATATATATATAATTCATCAATAAAACATTTTTATTATTTTTTTTTTTTTTACTTTAAATTAATATTTTATGATAAAATATTATTTAATAATTAATAAAACCTTAAATACTGTATATAATTATAATAAATTTATAATAAAATTATTTAATTTTATTTAAATTTATGAATTATAATATATAGTTTAGATAATTTATTTATTTTTTTTTTTAATACCTAAAACAAAAGTATATATTCATCAGAGTAAGATAAAAAATATTACAACTAAATATTTATATTATATTTAACAAACTTGTTATTGATATAAAGAGTCTTTAAGTTTAATCTTAAAGATAATATTTTGCTTCAATAGATATTTTGGATAAAGATACTTCTAGTTTATATTATTATTATTATTATTTTATTATTGTCACATGTTCTATTAAACTATTAGTTAATAAAAAACTACAAAATAAAAAAGTAATAAAAAAAAAAAAAAATAAAGAATATAAAAATGTACAAATATATATATAAGAAAAAAATTAAAAATTAAAATTAAAAATTCGATTTTTCTAAAAACTCAATTTTTTAAACCTTTTCTCAATAAAATAAACTTTCTTGAAATGTTATGTTTTTTCTTTTTTAAACTATATAAAAAACTTATATTTTAAACTATATTTTTTTAACTTATATCTTTTAATCTTATATCCAATTACTTAGAATTCTTTAATTTATTTTACTCAAGAACTTATTGTTTTAGTTATCATTAAACTAAAAGAAATTTAAAAACTTTATTAGTTTGATCAATAAGAATAAAAAAATTCTATCTAAAAAATAATAGCTTAAGAATATATTACTTAAATTTTATTGACTGCATAATCTTGAAATTGAATAAATCTAATTGAAAAAAAGAAAAAGCCAGGAAATCAATTAATTTTTTTTTTATTCATAACATCATTAAAATATATGATATAACTAAAGATAAGTTTTTAGAGTATTTAGTATTTAAAATTTTATAGATTACTTACAGTATATCTCTTTTTGAAAGACAAAATTCATAGCTCTTTATTTTAATAGAAATAAAATTTATGAAATGTTATAAATCAAAAATTTGAATAATAAAAAACTATTTTAGATAGTTTTTTATAGTTATTAGTTTAAAAATTTTAATGTAAGGAATATTTGACTTTTGTTTCTGTTTTTTCTTTTAAGAATCTATCTTTAAATATAATTAGTAGGAACTTATTTATATTTTGTTACAAACATATTTCATATTAACTAATTAATTATCTTTAGTAAAAGCTATGTTGAGTTTGTATCACTTTAAAATTTAAATTAAAACTGAGCTAGATAAGATTTTTCAAAAATTTTGAAAAATAAGTAACTTTAAAAAAGTAGAAATAATAAATAGAAAAGTTTTCAAATTTAAGTTTATATTTACTTATTCATTTATTATATAAGATTTCTAGTTATACTTTTGCCTCAAGAAATCGATTTTTAATACTTTACTCTTGATTTTTCTATTTTTTAGAACTTTCTTACTAAAGATAAAATAGTGTTTTCTTAATTATCAAGTATCAAGTTTTATTTGAAAAAGAATATAAACAAAAAAGATGAATCAAAAAAAATTGTTAAAGTTATTTTTCAAGTTGTTTTAAAGAGAGTAATAAGACTTTATTAGTATAAAAGTATAAAACTTTTTGTGAACATTTTTTTATTTATTGTTAAAAGATTAGTAAAAAAAGTTTTTATAGTTCAAATAATTTATTTGAAAAGATATACTATATACAGTATAGTATATATCATATATAAAAAATATGTTAATAAAAAGTTTTTTTATTTCTTTGTTAAT